GTTAAAAACCTGATTTGTGTACCAAAAACACTACTCTTTCCAGAAATTACACGGCACAATCACGTAACTCATGCATGAACACGAAGATATTTCTTTCTACATGGTGTTACCCGAAAATGTCCTCTATTTTGCCTCCCAATCACACATTTATTCCCTTATTGAAGATGCGAAAAGAATGAAAAATACAAGTTATGGAGAGTCTTTTACATCTTTCGAAACAGTTTGCACAAAGTGTGACGCTGGGCATGAATCCAGTATAGGGCGTAATGTAATAATACTATCTTGTGACGTAATGACTTGCGTTCTTTGATATCACTTGCTAATTGCAGATATTTTGGAGTTCATAAACGGATTAAGAAAAAACCGACTCCGTATTTTCACCACTGGGACCTCCACACGAGCCAATGCAATCCACAGGATCACACCCCAGAGGTATCCCTGCGCAGAGATTATAGGTATCAGGTGTAAATTGGCGTCACGAGGCTAAGGCATCTGCAAAGATTATAAGATCAGTTTTATTTTTACAATTCACTGGTGGAAAGATCATTGCCCTAGATTGGTGTAGGGGTAAGCCAGCTGCCTAAGAGCTGCCCACCTCCCATCGACAGCCGTGAAGGCATGCTCAAGTTAATTTTAGAGACTTGAAAGTTAAGCCCTACACACTAGTTTTTCGATGCACGTTTTGTTAGTCCGGAGAAGACGAATCGTCTGTTCGTTTCAACTTTGCACCTTATCTCCTTGTTAATGACGTTCATATGCGCTTGTGTTTTTTTTTTTATCCTCCTTCACAAAGACAGATTTCTTGCTTTGAAACGATTCTGTCTGATTTTCGCAGGAAGCTGACTACACCGGCAGCAGACGGAGCATATTAGGTTGGTTCCTAAACGGGTAACTCACTCTGGATCTAATTAGAAGAATTAAGGGAAAGTCACGATCGAAGTTCTGTCTTGCAACCCGGATCGGTTGATACCCGTCGATTATAAGGAAGCGGCGAATGATGTGTAAATAAATTGTATCTGGAAATCACATTAACAAAAAAAACCCGCGATCACCCGGCTCTGCTTCCAGTTTGGACAAAAATAAGTCACAGATGTGATCTTACACAAATGAGTCAACTGTAGCCGGTTTTTGTATATGAAGATAACAGTCACTACATCTGGTGTGGACTTGTTGGCCTTGCCATTTTGCATGTCAGAATGTTCATCCGAGTTAACAGTTGAATGTGTTCATTCTTGCGCAAACGCAACTTCGGCAAATCAAAGATAGCTGAAAGCCTTGCTCCGAAGGTCTCAGTCCACAGGCGAGAATTCTCACACTAAACGAGTTGACATTGGACAGAGCTCACTTCTAAATGGGTTTAACAGGACAGAAAAAAGTTGGAGAGAAAACAAGAAAGTATTAACTTAACACATGACTTTCCCACATGGCCGCGCTTTTACTCGCGCGCCCACTCGAGCACGCACTGGATACCTCGAATGGCTAAAATACTTTGCAAATTGTCTGGGTGGTGTTGTCTAGGTGCCGTCATTTCACGAACATCCTCGCCTGTCCAAATATCATCCCTCGCGCTGACACTGTTTACTCAGGATAAATTAGATTTCATCAGCTGGCCGCACGACTGGCTATTGAAGGAACGAGCTCGAGTGAATGCTCGTGGGGAGAGCACGGGGGCGACTCACCAACCTATACGCTCGCTCGGTTCAAAACTTTGTCTTGAAATGTATCGGACTGTTCAATATTTGATCATGTATTTGGACAAGAAGTAGATCGTGAAACTGAATCCTCAGCTTGGGTTAACGACCGTACTCAATACGTTTAAGCTGGAATGTAAACGCTGATTTGCAAGAAAAGTCGCAAAAATATTCTACAGCGCGTCCAAAAATACCTGCAACAGTTTTTTTTGAAAAGGCTCTAGCGTCGCCGCGGAAACACGTACTGCATTATATTTTATACCACTTCAAAGCTTGGAATCTTAATTTTATCCCTGGTAAGTATTAATTTGATTCTAAAAGGGTTTTGAAATTATTTGTGTTAAAGTAAAGGCATGTCAAAAAAAAAACTCAACCGATTTAAATATGGAAATGCTTCATCATTTTCATGTTGTAACGATCTCAATGCCTTTTACTTTCTGTTATTTCCTTTTCTTTTCGATCCACGTAGACTACCTGTCACCTTAAATAAATTCACAATATTGTTTTTTGATTCAAGCTCAATGTGTTTTTAATATAAATCATCTGTTTTCTATTTCGGTTATTTCAACAGCGTATGATGTACCGCATCATCGATTTGCCTTGAAATCGGTTGAGTTTGTTTTTGACATGCCTTTATTTGAACTCGAATAATTTTGAAACTCTTTTTAATATCAAACCAATACTCGCCAGGGATAAAGTTATAATTCCAAGCTTTAAAATGGTACAAAAATAATGGCGGCATGTGTTTCCGAGCCGAGGCTAGATCCTCTCAAGTAAAACTAGCGGGTATTTTGGGACGCGCTGTATGTATGTCCAGCGCGTCATAGAGATGTAGCTCATTGAACTACAGTTTCTTTAGGAGAAGATGATCCTTAATATATATAAGAATCATTATCTGTTAGAAGACCGTTTATTGTTGTCAGTTACATTACAATAAATTACACTCTTTGTACTGGAAGTCTAAATAAACTCAACAGTCCATGCATGGTTCCCCAAGCCCCAACCAATATGATTGTATTGTCTGGTAGCCCTTGTAGCTGCTCATATGAGATGTACCCAACTCGTCAACCCAACTATTGCCAACTGACAGGTAGCTGACAGACGCTCGGGTTGGAGTCAATCATAAAGTGATTGGTTTCTTCATAACGATAGTCTTTTCGTGCTGGACTTCGCCCGGCCGTTTATTGGCCTCCTTTCGGCCGGAAATTCGCTTCATGGCTCCGCCATCGTCTCTCTTATCAGACCCAGTTTTTTTTCGGAGATCTGTTGATCTTTTTCGTCTTCACATCTTTGATCAGATTTTTTGATTGCTAAAAATGAGAGTGTCATTTGATGAGAACGTCATATAGTCTAGAACGAAAAACCTGTCAAATTTTGTTGATCAGGGCTGCTTCAGGGACAGGCCAGCATTCAAGCCTCGGACACAATTTTATGAAGCCGTTATAGGCAGACAACTATTTTAAGCCAAATTCAGCCAGAACTAATATCGGAAGAAACCTATACTGAGAATGAGCTGGACCCAAAGTAAAGACAATATTAAAAATATGTAGTAATTATCAAAACAGGCTGATATAGGCTGGTATTTTGGACATTTTGGTAAAAGTTTCATGTACATATTTCCGTTGTACCATTTTGAAGAAAAGCGCTAGCAAAGAACATGCGCTCAAAAACACTCTGACCACGGTTCCATGGTTCAACAAATTTATTGAAATCGCTGATGTGAAGCAGTGTAATAACGATAAAAAACCCATAGTGGCTGACTGACTTGAAGTTATTAACGCATTTAAAAAAAGGAAAACCAATTCAGTGTGCAGACTGGAAAATTAGCCACTTCAATGAAAATGGCATAACTCCTCACCACAGCCACTAATTTGAAAAATTCAAAATTCCTTTGGAAGACAAGGTAATAACTATTCATATAAAGCATTCATTCTTTTCTCAATATACCCTATTTGCCAGAAAAAAATAAGATGAACTTGGGTCCCGATCATTCTGACTCACCCTGTACAGTCAACAGTTTGAAGGCTTGTCAAAGTGTCCTCTATGTTCGTCTTAACAAAACTGAATCTATGACGAAATTTAGAACAGGGTTTCTTTATATAAATTTGTTTTCACGAAGCCGCACTTTGGTCTTTAGCTCTTCGCGCCAACTTTAGATGAGAGAAAATGTGTGCATGCTCATCCGTGCAGTCGAGAGATGCCGTCGTCTTGAACTTTGCAAATAGTGACCGATGCTTGATGAGGAGTCTTTAGAAAGATTAGATCTAACTCCTGTCGTTTAATCGCCGTGTCTTAGACAGTTTTCTGTGGCATCTTTTGCAGGCAAACTCGGTCAAATGCAAATGAATGGTATTGGAGAAGACCCACCGTACATACACACAATGAGAAACCTATTATTAGAAATGTCTGAGGCCGGACCTGCATTAATAATGTTTTCTCTGAGTAAACACCTGACAACATAAATGTCATTCTTGAGCAACGACGGCATTTTTGGAATATCAATAATATACCGTCACCGGAAAATGCGTTTATGTATGTGCTCCACGAGAGCCTATAACTGTATGCGTAGATCAATTCAGCATCCTCGATTGTCACGAGCGACTCTAAAAATAGCGACTCCGTCTGAAGCTTTTTACCAAAGCAGCATCACTGTCTTCCGACCAGCTAGTAAGTCCCTGCCAAGATTAACCCTTCATCACCTTTTGGTAGTTTTTTTCCTGTTTTTTTTTTTCGAGCGATGAACATCGTGAGGCTTTCGTCGGGAGCGGGAATTGACAGGGTAGGTCTGGGTCGTTCGAAGGTCGATGTAATCGGCTCGTAGATGCTGCCGATTCTTGGTCAGTCGAAGATACCCAGGCGGAAACGAGTTCTCCCTAATCCGCTGACATTGACCAAAATTATTCCCGTTTCTTTCGTTGGATTCTGTTAAAGGCAGGTCCGAAAAGAACAGTTGACCTTTGAATCCCATCGCTCCACACTATCCCACTTTCTGTCTGCATCAGTCACATAAGAAGTCTTCAGCAACAAATCGGTATCAAAACTTATTATAACAGATTTTAAATGTGATTTGTAGACCGAATAAGATCTCAGCTGCAGTTCAGTTATGGAGCCACTTACCAGATGTTGTCAAACAGGCCAAAACATCAGAACAATTCAAAACCCGGGTCAAAACATAACTGTTCAAGTGTTGATTTCATGAGAGCGCATGGGGACCTGACGGTTATGTGAGCTATATAAGAATGGTTATTATTATTATTACTATATTATTTCATATGGTATCATGTTATATTTTCAATTGTTTCCTCCTAGATCCGCCGATGTGTGCACCTGATTGGGACACCACACTATGCTGGCCGGCTACTCCCGCCAATTCCTCCGTCATCTTGAAGTGTCCCAACCTCGACTGGTTCAACCCAGACAGTAAGCGCTCTTCTCAACTAAATACAACAAATGCCATATTTTGAACGAATTGGGCGTTAAACAAGCTATTTTGGGGGACAGACGTGACAGCTCTGTTGTTTTGGTGGAGAAACAAAGAGATGCTAGCTAATATTTCCAAAGCGTGTTCAACCATATGGCGCATCAATGTCATTTATAAAAATTCACTCAGCCCGCCCTCAAAACATTGAGCTACATTACCCAATTGTCATATATAACTCTTCAAAAGTCGATCTCTGATTGGTTACATCATGGAATCTCATAGAATCTGACCAATCACTGATGACATGTGAAACCTTCCGCTTTACTAATTTATTCACACGTTGATTTCCCGCTTATCCCCGCAGACAGCCTGTCCCGATTCTGTGGCCCGAATGCAACGTGGGAATTGGGAGGAACCTACCGGGATTGTTTCGCCCATAGCAATATCCCGACCAGAACGCCCGATTACGACGATGTGTCTGACGAAATGATCAATGTAAGACTAAAACAGAAACACTTTACCCTTTGGGTATAAGTTTATCTCCTTGAATGGTTTTCTTTCGTACGATTATTTTCACGAAAGAATAATCCTACAAAAATTGAGAACGAAAAGATACAAAGCTCAAGATTTAACGCTGTGTATGTTCCAAAAGATAATGGTTGAATGGTTGTTTCAATATATTATGGAGGATTTGTATTTAACCAACAATACCGCAGGAGGAACACATCTGTAGCAATCCCAACTGTATTTTATATTTGAATTAATTTTTAAATTAAAAAAATGTTCTTCCTCTGGACCCAGTTTTATTTAGAAGTTCTCCGAGGCGCCAATTTGATGCGATTGATTGGTGTTTGCCTGTCCTGGGTTGCCCTCGTGGTGGCGCTCTTAATCTTCTCGACATTTCGGTGAGTAAAGACTACAAATTTGCACGCGACCAGTTTCCATTGTACATGTTTTGACAAACAGCTGTCTGTCTTATTTTATCTTTTTGATCCCACCTTGTTCTAGTTTGTAGTCTTGCATATTATGCTATATCATTTTGTCTTGAATTATCATCTAAAGCTTATTCTCATATCTCATTTCTGGAATTTCCATGTTTTGTCGTAGTTTCTCGTATCCCCCCGTCGTTTCATCACGCCGGTACCTAATTGCCCTTTAAGCCTCTGATCCTGTTGCTCGTCATTTGTCATCGCGACCGGTTTTTCTCGCCGAATTTCATTTTAGATCATCAAATCTCGCCTTTTCACTTCTTCGAATCATTCATTTTATTTAAGCCTGACCTTATCCCATACCCACTGATCTTCTGTCACTTCGCCTTATCTCATCAATCATCGCCTCACATTATTAAAATTCGATTGATTTTTTTGTCTCTTTTCTGTTCATCGCAAATACCCTTATTATCTCGCCACATTCCGTCTGGTCTTATCAAGTTGACCCATATATCGCATCTGAACTGTTTTCTTCATTAACCTCAATTGCACAACACGTTCACATGTCAAACTTCACGAACTGTCGTGTGAAATGAACTCCACGTATGTATCGGACAGCTCGTCCACTGTATAGATACCACACGAGGTTAATTTAACACTGCTGTTTTTGCAACCCTTTCAGTAAAACTTATGAAAACACTCGCGATCCCATTGCAGCAGCAGATAGATGCCCATAAGCGAACCAGTAATCCAAGCGCAACTGTTCCCAATCCATCTTGCTTTCCACCAATTCATTTCAGCCTTCCCGTAATAGACTTTCCAATGCGTTTTCCAATCCCGCATGTGTTCTGAACAAACACTACAAGCTGCGTGTGCGTGCACTTGCGCTTGTCTAGGGAAACGGAGTCAATGACAGTTGACGTGGTGCGAGTCTTTGTGCTTGGTCGTCTTCTGTCTTCGCAAGCCATCAGCCTCTCCGTCTGTTACCCCTCATCATACAATCACCCCTTCATCATTTTCACTGCTCCGTCACGACTCGCCTGTCGCTCTCCCCTCGCTTCATTTTCTCCCCCAATCGTAAGAATAAACAAGAACCGCAGATGAAGTTTAAAAGGAAGAAGAAAAAAAAATCGGCAGCTTGTCGTCTTTCCGCGGAACCTTTAGAGATGCCTTGCCTCAGGCACTGCTGTGGTCTTGAAACGAAGATTTTATTTTCAGGCTGATCAAGTGTAATAAGAAGTGCAATAGCCGGGTAAGAGTTAGCCTCGTCTCGAGGCGCTCAGAGTGCCGCTGGTTGCAATATCAATTCTGAAATCGTAACAAACATCATGTGTCTATACATTTGTCAGTAATGATTACTCTCACGCACACTTGGAATTTTAAGTTTCGCTTGAAAATCGATCAGATAAAAATGAGATTGATGAAAATTGGATGTGGCCATTAAAGTCTGGCAAACACTCGACAGATATATACGAAACAGCTGTGCGCAACTTTCTATTGTACTTAATTTTTTTTTGTAGTATTAAGCTCGGTGTCACTTTACTTGGGTGATTTTGCCATCTTGGTAGACGGAAGGTCTAGTTGGTCAGAAGATTGCAAACACGTGTCTATACGAGCTGCAAAACTACTTACCCTATAAATTGGCATAGGTTAACTGTGGGATTTTTTTTTATAGGTCTTGGCAACTAAGATCTTGGCTTGGCTCTTCTGGATAAACTATTAGCCGTTTACCGAAAAATCACGGAGTGTACCAAACAAAATTGAAGATTTTTTTTTGTTCTGATTAAAGCAAGCTGTTTTACCTTTAATTAAAGTTGGTATATACGTGCTTTTTCAAAATTTCGATTTTCTTTTCCGAGCGAAATTTTAAGGAATATAATGTCCTGCAACAAGTAAATGTGCTTGTTTATTTTTGCAGGCCTGTATACAGTTTTAAAAAGTGGTTTTAAATTTAAATGGCGCGCTCCTGTTTGGAAATTGTGCACACTATTCAGAACGAATTAGGAGCGTCTCGCTCTTAATTCAATAGTTGGAATTAATTAACTGATTACTTGTCGTGGGCCGCCTTTTCGTGAGATGTCTCATTGGAAAGCTCAAAACTAATGTAATGCTAGAAAATTATCAATTCAATTTGAAAAAACTATTTTTCAATGTGCAAACCCAAAAAGCTTGTATACACCAACTGCTATGCCTATTGCCAGATTACTAAAAAAAAGGCAAGTGTATACTCCAACGGGGTAAATTTGATAGATCACGGTCAGCTGTTAAATATACCGGTCCGAAGAAGGCCTACTATGATGTCGCAAGTGACCTGCGCGGGTCTGACAATACTTCAGACTCGAATCAAGTCTATCTATGAACCGTCTAAGCACGAGTGGAATTTATACCCGTTTTTTTTAATGCTGCTATTGAGGTGACGAAGCAGACTTCTGCTGGCATCAGACCCGGAATAGCCTCGTCTAAAGCTGACGTATGGAATCAGCTGTAAGGATGCCATCCCCGCACTCTACTCTCTCTCGGTCGTCTCTTTAAACCATTGCCTCAGCTGCAGCCTTCTTAATCCACATTAATTAGTAACACTCAGTGCGCTTTGATGCGGCGCCGTATTTTGCAACTCGTTCATCTTACTGAAATGTGTCCGGCATTGCATGACTAGTAACCAATTCATCTGTGTCATCGCCTGAACTATAGATACCTACCGGTACAGGTCACTCCAGGACAATTTGGCGGTGGAAGTATCATCGCAACCCGCACATTAAATAGCAGCGAAGCAAGAGAACAAAGTTTGATGTCAAACTTAACACAAAATGTAGGGGTCAGTTGTGCGATTGTTTAAGCGTATCACGTGACCTGAGGAGGAACTTTGCATTTTGGGAACAAGTGACCTTAGGTCGTCTACCTTTAATAATGTTGTCTTTGCTCGGTCCAATGAACACGGGCTGGTTTCCAAATAGCGCTTGAACAGAAACCAATGTTATTTCGCTAGATATAAATCTTTCCCAAAATGCTCCCGTGAACGTTTTTTTTGCAGCATTCATCGTATTTTAACCAATCACATCACGCTTCCTAACATGAATATTTATCACGCCTTGTGGCAGCTCGACGAAAACCGTTCTTTGAAATGCTTTAATGTACATGTTGTTTTGACATGCCTTTATTTGAACACAAATCATTTCGAACCCCTTTTAAAAATCAAATCAATACTTACCAGGAATAAAGTTCAGATTCCAAGCTTTAAAATGATATAAAAATATTGGCGGTACGTGTTTCCCCTGACGACGCTAGAGCCTCGGAAAACTAATGTGGCGGGTATTTTGGGAAAGCCAGCAGGAGATTACCTTTCTCGCGTAGCTTTCCTATTTTTCACTGAGTCGGCGGCAAGAAAATGAAAGGATCACCGTGTAATCGTAACGGTTTTCAATCGTTTTTCTTGCCAATCGTTTTCAGAGAAACATCCAGGTTATTGCCGCTGGACAGATCGTGGATTAATTGAAATTTACACTGATCTGCCGTTGCAAAAACTACATTGATACAGAGTTAAAGGCGTGAGATAAGTGTAAAATTATATAGCGCACACGGGGTTCTTAACAAAAAGAGAGTCGGGATTTTCCAAGCGATGTTGCACACTAAAAGAGAAACCGTCAATTTGTTCTTATCCCGAGGGAGCCTGCTGCTTATTTTCCCCGGCGGCCAAAACAACTTCCCGCTCAAATTAGAACAGCATTATTGGACTATCATGCCCTGTAACATAGGAGATTATCCCGCGCTGACCCTTGGAGCGAATTGCAAATCGAGAGCAAATCTTGGACACGATGAAATAAAAAATGACGGGGGATAAAAAAATATTACTAATGGCGGGAAGCGATGTCAAAAAAGGCGCGAAATATATCACCTGGGAAATATGGAATTGGGTCGTCGATAAATTACCGCAGAGTTTCGCGGTTGAGTTGTCGGGCTTTTAGCGGCAATTTGATATGGTTTTTAATTTATAGTTGGCCCAATTCGAAGATTGATATCAATCGGAAGATTAAGTAACAACGTTTTGGAATCGTTAGTTACCCAAGAGAATTCATATTTTTTGATATATTTCGAAACTAAAGTAGTAATATTATTTACTTTGTAAATTGCAACAGAATATTGTTGTAAATCTCGAATCTTTCTTACCTTCTGGTCACATAACTGATTAGTTTTCTCACAAAATATCAGAAAAGATTGAATCAAACCCAGTGTTATAGTTGTTTCAATACTTTGGTTTTTACTTTGGTTGTGGTCCGTCTTCTGAGGCTAGTGGATACCAATTTACATTGTTATTTTCACTCTGAAACTCCTTGACCTACTCTAAATGCCAACACCGTCACTCCATTAGGATAGAATTCTCCAATTTTAGCATGCTGGTTCCTTGAGTTTCTCGATTTTGTCTTGCAATGCAGGAGTCTGAACTGTAACCGCATCAAGATCCACAAGCATTTCTTCGCGGCATTTCTGATCCGTATGACCCTCGAGGTCATTCTGGTGGCCGATAGGCGACATCGGGAGAGTAATACAAGTCAAGGGATCACTGATGTCAAGACTATACATCTCACGGTAAGACCGAGTCTGAATGAGAGTTATAGCTGTGGCTAGCAGTAACACACGTTTCAATGGGAAGTGGCCAGAGATGCGATTGCAAGAGATGTGATTGCAATCCGTAGCCAAGTCATGTGGACGCGGCTTATAAGCTTCTCTTAGTCATGCTTCCTCAAACACCTTTCAGGCCGTGTCTGAATCAGCTATTTAGTGGCTGCGACTTTGCTTTTGCCTTTGGTGAGCTACGGTGCATAGCCGCAGTCGTAGACCATAACACTTTGGACGCGATCTTCGACTATTTGCGTTTGCAAGGATCAGCTATATTGGACCCCAAAACGAGTGCACACTTGTAAAACGAAAACTCCTATGTATGTAAAAACCAATTCAAGTTGAAAGTTGCCAAATCTGACGATGCAGACGCGTAAGGTCGCTATTCCACCTGTTTCCATACTCTCAAATCTCCGAATAACCTCCGTGCAATATTCGATTCTTTGCCACCGCTGAAATCGATTAATGGCACCTTATTGCAACGTGACCTTATTTGGTTCTTGGTATCAAATAGCCTGTCCTTTGCGAGACATTCGAGACGATCCGAGAGTACGGCCGTCTGTGTGCATTCTTCTGGATGTTCATTGAGGGGTTGTATCTGACCTGCCTGGTGTCTGCTAACGTCTTCGGCAAGCCTCGTTTCCTGCTCTACTACTTAATCGGATGGTGTGAGTAGATTTAATTAATTTATATTTAGTTGTTGACGAGATACTCAGATAGTCAATCTATAGATACGTTGCATTGCTGCCATCTTTGTTCCAAAATCGCGTGCTTATGTTCCAAAGTGATACGCAGACCTTTGTTGCATTTATTGGTACTTAATTAAAAGAACACAAACATGGTTTCTGGATGCAAAGACCCTGTGTACATCTTCTACCCCGTATTTATCTTTTGAATGATGAGCGTATTCGCATACATACCAAGTTGTCGGACGAATTTGTAATGCTGTTGATAATACTGTTTGCCTTAGGAGTAACAAACACATTTCTAACTTAAAAAAATGCAACATAATTAAGATCATTTTCCCCCGTGTTTTTCCCCCTTACTGGATAGTTCTTCCGATTCCCATCGTCATCAGCTGGGTCGTTGCTATGTACTACACAAGTCAAGCAAGGTGAGTCGCCATCTTGAATTCATCATACCGTTGACAGTGAAGAATTGTGCAGTTTGTCATATTATGAAAAATTGGTTATTAGGATGAACGTTATTTAAATAGTGTTATTTATTCGTTTTGAGAGGTTTAAGACCCAGAGCTGCAGTGCGTTTCGATGGTTCTGGGTTTTAGCGGAGCGATTTTGAAGAGTAAAAGCAAAATACGTAACGTATAAATTAACAGAAATTACTTTTCCACGTTAACCAAACTTGGTATGTGGAGTAGAAACTTAATTGTCGCTAAGCTTGTAGAGGCATTTTGTCTCTTCATCATCATCATCATCATCAGTCGACTGCAAAGCAGACGGACACAAGTTTTCCCCGTTCATCTCTGTTTTGTGCGAGTCTCCGGATCTCTAGCGGGGAGTGCAGAAAATCCTGTGACAATAGTCTAGCGATGTACTCTGGGTAGAGTAGGCGCTGACGACCTTGTCTGCGTCGGCCATAAGATGGGGAGTATAGAGCATAGATGTTATCTGGCTCGTTCATAGGCTTCCGAATGATGTGATTAACCCATCTGAGTTGTCGTTTTTGTATTAGTGCTTGTTGCTGGCTGGCAGATGTTTTACAGCATGGTGTTTTGTCAAGACGTTTTATGCCGAGTTTGATCAGGAGGCAGTTTGTAAGATAGCTATTAAGATATGCGACAAGGAACTTGGTGATGACACATGTTTCACAGGCATGTATAACAGGATGGGTAGGCAGGCTGTCTTGAAGATGTCCAGTTTTAGCTCTTGGGCCACAATGGAGGACTTACTTAGGTTACGTCTCCCTGCTATTTTTAAAAGGCGAAAGTTGTGCAAATAAATACATGAAAAATGGAACGATATCAAATGAGCGGTTACCGGTACCTAGTATCACTTTGATGTAAGACAACAGCGAAGTATAACCTATGAGATCTGCACATGAGAAATGGGGTTGTCAATACTGAACGAGAGATCTGAATGACAACTTTATTATCCTTAATCTTTTGATTTCCATTTGCATTGTGCAAAAAAAAAAACTGCCACAGAAAAGCGATTCTGAACACGGTTCCCTGAGTCCCTTGTGTCCTCAGTCACCACAAGGGACGCGCGATCATGCTGCGAGCACCACATTGCTAATTAACTGGACCACGTATTGCCTCAGATGGGTCCCAGTTGCGCGCAGGGACCTGTCAACTCTACGGGTAAAGCTCTCGCGCCTAGAACGGGACTCGCACGTGACTTTTGTACCGAATGCTGCGATTTCTGGGCGATTTGGCAGAACGGGAGTAGAATGGCGCCACAGTTGGCGGGTGATGAGACGATCTTGTGTGTCTTTAAAGAAGCTGAATCGGAATGGCAGCTTGGATAAGGCCAATTTCAGTCGAACGTGAAACCGTTGAAAGATGTTGAAATTCCCGATGACGTGATGACTTCCATGTCATAGTTCTCACGTTGTTCTACTGTGAGGGGTTTCAGATTTAATTATTAATGGCCTGCCGGTTCAAATGTTCCAATTTTTGTGTGTGTTTGCATGATATCATTTATGCTTTTACTTTGATATACCACACACTGCGAACATAATTTCAAATCTTATTTCGCATTAATGAGCTCTCTTGTCAGTCATTGTTGTTTCCGGAATTGTCAAAAGTGTAATTAGTTATTTCCGTAATTACGAAACAAAAAAAACTCCAGTTCTAAATTAATTTGTGACAATGGTCCTTGAATATAGGTAACCGCAGGTTCATCGCTCTTTGAAGTGACAGGTACTAGTCTGTAAAGTCCGTGCCCAGCTGAAAAGAAACGTGTTCATTCCGAAATTTAATTTCGATATAGTGGTCCAGCTTGATGAAGATTGCTCCTCCCGCACCCTTCAGTTGTTTAATAAAAAAAGAAATCGAGGATGGCGGAGGGAGAAGAGGGTCAGAGTCCGTCATTCACATTGGGGCCAATTTTATTTGTTGTTCGCTGAGGCAGCTCGTCTTCTTAGCCTGAATTAGTCTTGTGAATGATAACTGTTGGTGACTTGAAGACTACTGGATTTCCCCCCCCCCCGTGGGTTAGTTAAATTGAAGAAAAAAATATCAGCTGTGGATCTGAAAATCGAGTAGAGAGCTACTGGGACATATCAAGAATCCTCCAACCTCCATGACTGGTTAACAAAGCCCCTACCTTCATAGTCTTGCAGCCATTACAAGTAGCGTGAGACGGCGACAATTTAAGAAATGCTATAGCGCTGTACATTGATTATGGGCTATGCCATAAGGCGCACAGTGGGCAGTCCAGGAAGGTGCTTTATTTTACTTCATGCAGAGAAAGGGTTACTGGCCTCTCTTGACAGACTTAATAGCACCTCGAAGTTGACCTACTATTTATGCACCACATTGTCCAATTACTGCCAATGTTACATCCAAACCTATTTAGAGAGATCCCAGAACCAAATGCTTGCTTAGGATCCACTAATAGAATTCGCACATTAAGTTAGTGCCTTGCTTCGTCTCCTCTCATCCATGTTCGCGAATTCAATCGATTTTCAAGAAATCCTCTTGATCGCGTCGAGGCTCGTTGTTTTCTTTCTCCGGCAGTGACACGAGCGAGACGTTTGAGCTTGCTGTACATGTCACGTTGATTCTCGCACTATCTCGCCGATCTTCATCCGTTGCTTTTAGACTGGTTATCTGACCTCGTCCTGTCACTCCGTGAGAGCGTGGGATTCAATGACGCGTGAATGATGGCTCTGTTTGCTCCGCTTGGTGTGTCATATCCGGCCCGAGGACACAATTTGTTTCTGTCCTGTTAATATTTTTCCAACTGATTTCTTCTGTCCTCAAGGAAAGAAAATAATATTCAGTGACTTGTAAACAGAGTGATGATGACAAGCCTGCAAAAGATCCAATGTCTTTTCAAACTGATCTGTGGGATCAAATTTTGAAACTAGATAGTAAGGAGTGAAGTATGTCCTCGCCTTTGTCGACAGACCAGTGGATTTTTCCTATGAATTATGTTTTTATGTATTCATTTCCCCCTGCATTTACAATGTATCTCGAAACCTTCCTCCCCCATTGGCCCCAAGCACCGGTCTCCCGAACTCCCTTCACCCTTCCCGCCAGAAGATTCCCGAATATATCTTCTGGAGAAACTAATACTAAACTAGTTCGTGTTAGAAAGTTTAGCACGCGCTACCCCTCACGATTACTCATCTATAACTCCCGTTTTTTCTGCCCCTTGCGCCGATAGCCAACACGCCTGGAGTGACGCAGAAGCGTCGTCATTAACGACCGCACTACGCACTCGCTAAAAAGGGGTTCTTTTAGTGTGTGGAATGCACACGATGGACTCAATTGACACGAAGCCGGAGGGTTCTACACCCATTTTCTCATCTGAGGGGGCTTAAATGTCACGCGTAAGAACAAAAACCCTTACAAGTCGGACTTGTGTGAGTGCCACTATAGCAGCCATCAGTGGCCGGAGTGACTGCGTTATCTGTGATCTAACCTCGCTGAAACTCAATGAGGGTTTTAAAAACCCTGGCTCGCTTACAATTGCGGAGTGGTAAGCCCAGCGCCCTCAGGCGGTTGGTAGCAGAGAGGACTCGGGATGCACTTTGGGTTTGGCCGTGCAGAACCAAAGTCGGAGAGTGTCTTGGGTATTTTGCAATGCACTTAAACTGGTACCAGTCCTTCGCCATCTGAAATAAAAAAATATGGACATGTAGGTCTTGTGATTAATGGGATTTGGGGAGAGTTCACTAAGGGCAAAGATTACTTGCCGAATAAGTGAACTGTGTTTTAGACAACGCTTTAGGTTATACCTTTATAACCGTTTCACAAAATATTAAATGGTGTTGTGCATTCTGTACCTAACGCACTTTGTTGTGAATATTCTCATCCGGCGCGCAGTTGAAACTTACTCACAGTCACATATCGTTGTTCTACAGAGGGTAAAAAAACTCAGAAAATGACATCGTTGCAACACCTGCTTCAGATAAAACATAACGATCTCATGCACCCAGGTGCACTCGATAATTCCCATGTCCTTCTGTGTCACGTATATATCTTGATTGGGGTATACTTGGTTATATCTTGATTGGGATCAGAAGGTCGCGTGCTGTTGGGTGTCATTAGGCTCGCCACTTTACTTGTCCGATAACAATCAGTTAGAAGGACGACCGGCCGGACAAGGGCTGGGACGGACAATTTAACTCAGAACACCAACGGATAACTTTCACTGTGAAATTGCAAAGGGAGCAGGGTCAGCATGCGGCTTTATTCATAATATCGGTACAAAGTAGAATTGATACCCAAAACCATGTGTTTTCGAACTGCGTACTGAGTTGAAGTACTGTTTTCAGTTTTTTCCCTGTCAATCTTTGCTTTTTGGTTTACGATTATAGCTGTTTGTAAATTGTCTCTAGCCGTGGTGATTTTCTTCTTTTGTTTTTGGTGTTGAGTTTATAATTCACCTGAAAGTACAACGGTATCTTCTGGTCTGACTGTAATTCAGTAACTGACATGGCCGATTTGACGCCCTACGGTACTTTGCCATCCACTCCCGCGCACATCGTTGTCAGATGTGGAGTATAGTGGCCCTCTTGAGGGGACAGAAGAGGGCGGGCTTGTGACAGCTAGTCGATTACCAGTGCCTCCGGGTCGGTTGCTTGGAGACTATCGGTCAGCCTGTCTTGAGGTCTTCACTGATTCTGACATTGCTAGGGCGCCATCAGCCTCTAGGCTTGCTCTTCACCCGAGCCCTGTGACCCGATTTTTGAGATATCGTCGAATAATATTGTGTAATCTGGTCGAGGACGGACGGGTGTGGGCCGTGCATAAGCAGCGTCAAGGCGAAATCTTGTGTTTTTTCTCTCTCGAAATCTCCGCAGATACGTAGAGCGGCTTCCCTCGAAATCAACGTAAAAGACGTTAACATGGGGAAAGTTTTTCGACACAGCGGAGGTTCGGACCGATTATTAGACACTATCGTTTCGTCTTGAATACGGGAAAACCCTGGATTATGTGGGTGTAGAAATGTAGCAAACTGCCTCTTTGGGAAACCGTTTTCGTCAAGCGAATCTTGGTCGGCAACTCGCGGGCATGCGAATTTTCGGAAGAGGTAAAACCTTCTCACGATAATTCCCTTCTGCTGAGGTTTTCACTCTTACCGTAGCTCACTCAGCTTTTAAAAATCCCTTGACATCTTTTCCTGGAGGTTCTCTTTACAAGCCGTCGGATTCACGACATTGCCTGACAGAGAGAGAACCTTAATGGGGTGCAGAGGCGCTCTTACCCCCAGGCTGCAGTCGTGCTTGCGCGCTCGGTGTTAAAGTAGGTGTAGTAGGTCGTGTAATCGTCGACAAGTTATGCATGAGGCGTACGGATTGATGGATCCAAAGCTACTTAACAAGAGCTTTCCTCAACGTTTCGGCCGTCGTCAACAAGTTGACATTCTCTTGCTTGGAAGGGCTAGAAGGAGGGTCGTAGCGTACTTCCTTAGACGTCAGTACAATGAAGAGGTGTTCCTTCACCTTTTATATCATCCCTTCTAGAAATGCCCGCAAAACGAAAAGCAAAGTGTGTGACGCGTGGTGGCCACACGTGCGTGAAATACTCGGAGTTTCTGCATGGCATGACATGGCGGAAATAACGCGTACATCTTGCCAAAATCGCACATGCGTAACTACCATTCCAGAGTGGGTTCACATTCCGATCGGGCGTGGCTCTTCCTAGACTTCAACTGTCTTACTTTATTTGCCATTTAAACCAATTTCTAATCATGTCTGTTTTTGAATTAGACACAAAAATACTGAATACATGAATATTTTGGTTCTAATCAACAGTCACGCGCAACTTCATTTTTGTGTTAGTCAAATTTTCAAAACTATTCGCCCATTTCCTCACTGCTTCGTTTTTTTTCTTCCAGGTGCTGGAAGGACCATGCTGCTTCCTCGTATTACTTGATCATCGAGATTCCCCGGAATGGCGCCCTCATTGTTAGTTTTACCTCTTCTATCCAAGACATGGCTGTGACTAAAACTAACGACCTGATAATAGCGCATATTGTTCCAAATTAAAATATGTTTCATTTTCATCAGCGTTCTTGGCTTTCACATTTCTTTTTCCAAATGAAATGTACGTTTTGGCCAAAAGAGGATATAGATCTCATTAAAGGGGTGATAAAGGAAATATATTTAAATTTACAGGTAACCTTGTTATGTTGCCTCTTAAATAATTTAATAATTTAAATCCGTCTATCCTAGAAATAATTTCAATACATCCTTGATCCTGACAGATTAACGTTCTCTTCCTGATCAACATTGTGCGAGTTCTAGTGACTAAGCTGCGAGACAGTAACTCCAGCGAAACTAAACAGATCAGGTAAAATCCTCTCCATTAATACCAGGGATAATCAAGAAAGGGATAATCCTTTTCCTTTGCAATTTTATTTACTTTCAGTTTTCTTTTAAATTTCATCTCATAATTGTCAATAGAGATTTTGTGTACCATAAGATTTTGGCATAAGATTTTGTGTACCATATGCATACACAATAAGTAGAAATTGATCCGTCCGTATATATTTCTAAGGATCCTGCTTGTGGAGAAAATGAATGATCCTTGTTATAATTTCAAAAGTAGATACCAACATTAAACAGTCATCGGATTCAGATGAAATAGTAAAACTTTTACTCAAGTCACGTGACTTGTTACTAATTGACCTTTGACCTTTCAGGAAAGCTGCCAAAGGTGCCGTGCTGCTGATCCCACTCCTGGGCGTGGCTAACCTGGCCTGGTTCATCCCTAACCCTACGGTGCGCGACTCCAAGGCTAGCATCGTCTTGTATAACTACTTGTTTCTCTTCCTGGATTCCTACCAGGGCTTCTTCCTCTGCGTCATGTACTGCTTCTTGAACCAAGAGGTAGGTCTCACTCTTAACTTGGTACCATTTTCACTTTTTACTTGTTTGGCTTTTTTTTTTTTGTCTTCTTTTTTTTTCGCGGCCGTCACCTTGAGTGGTTCTTAGCCTTGTGGTCTTGTGGTTCTAATAAAACAAGCATTGAGATTACGTATTGGAGTTTATTTATTATTTTATTTGATTTCTTTCCGATAATGAAACCAAGGATTCCGCAAAAGTGCCCCATGCACTGTAGCCTGCAGAAACCTGTAGAGAGAAGACAGTGAGAACAAATTACAGTTTAAGAGGTGGGAGGAAAAGCTCAGAAGAATATGAGAAAAACCCACGGAATCAGGTAGGGACCCAATCCCAATCCACATATTAGCCCAGGCGGGATTCGAACCCGGGTCACAGCGGTGAAAGGGGCGAGGAAAGTACCGCTACGCCAACCTGCCTCCCAAGACAGAAGGATTGCGGGGCATCCGTGTATATTTAAGATTGTTAAGATTATTGGTTTGTATTTTGTCCAACACTGCCAGGTGCGAATGACACTACATCGTAAGTGGTCCACATGGCGTTACTATCGGGATCCTCTCCTGCGTCGAACATCCGTCCTGACTTCCACAACCGAAGTAAGTTCCTTTTCCTTCACTGTAGAATGCAAAATGTGTCCTAAAAATGCAGGAATGGGGCTATTGGAGTTCGTTTATTTATTCCGTAGAGTTGTTGTTGTTTTCCTTGTTCCCACAGATGAGCACGACACGTGCGGCATACAAGCCGTCGCAGAGGACGAATGGCTCCGCCGTGGGCAGCGAGTATGTGAGTTTAGAGATTGAACATCATGATAAGGAAATAAATGTGTGCTCGGCCGAATTTAAGAACTGTGTTTAAGACCGCTTGGAGTCTTATTGCTGATATATCAGCATCTAGATTCCAGGTTTTTAACATAGTGTTTAATACCGGCCAAACACATTACTCCCATTCATAAATACCTTTTTCGGTAAAGAAAAAGTCAGAAAAAGTCAAAATTTATAATTTTCCTAAGTTTACTTCATGTTTTCTTTCGAAACAGCCCCCCTAGCTTTACTATGGTATGGCTCTCTCGCGATTAGGTAAACAACTCTTTATATGGAGATTGGGGCGCGTGTCGCGCGTACTGCGCGATGTGGCGCAGAACGCAGCAGTGTCTGTGTAGTGTTAATTTGGGACTTTAAAATACTGACTCACTGGTAGTATTGCGCATGCCTACGTGAGGATTGTGAGCGTTCAACCAATAAAACAGTACTTGTACCGGATTGCACCGGAAACACAAAGTGTTTAAGACCTGCCAACCGGTCTTTAACAACCGTTTAAAATCGGCCACACGTGTCGGGCTCTCGACTAATAGGAATGGGTAAACCGTCTTGGGTATTAATGATTACAATTTGAAACTGCCGCCTTGCTTCCAAACACACAACAACTTTCATCGATTCAGGCTGCTGCTGTTTGTGGTTCCGCTCACACTGTAGTTAAACAGCGCCCTCTTTTTTAAAGTAATATCTTCGGCATAGAAGAGTTTATCTTTCGCTCAATTTGACAAATCAAGGAAAATACCCGCTGTCACTTCAGTATTTTTCTCAGACTTGAAATAAATTAACATGAAGTGTCTTGATAATTATATTGTACGACAATTAAATGACGTTAACTACACGGTAGCATAACCGATGCATTAAAGTTTTTCTTTAATGAGCGGCATGGTGAGATGTAATTTTCTGGTCCATTCTCCGATATAAATGAATTAAACAATAATCAATGTTTCCCCATGGATGATTTGTCACGCGTCGGCACAATCTTTAAAATACTTGGTTTTCGCACCAAAACGAAGCAGAAACCATTTATCCAATTTACCGACCAAAGTATTAATAAAACGCTTGAGGGCGCCCAAGGCTAAAGGGAGAAGTTGACAGCGCGTGGATGATTGTTGCATAAATTGATTCCGTTTGGAATTTATTTCAGCGGATGCGTTTTGATCAAACTGAAATTGAATTTGGCTTTTTGGTTCATTGACCAAAAGATCATTGCCCTGTGCTCACAAATGATGCAGTGTGTGACTCAGAGGGAGATTTCAAAGCTCTAGTGCAAAGGCCAATTTTGGAAAGGGCCCATGCAATGACTTGTTTTAATGCAATCCTTAAAAATACACCTTTGTATCCCATTTAACCTTTTTTAAATGCTTTTTTTGCCATTTTAAATGATGTTCTGGTGCCTTTTTGGTCTTTATGCTGATATGAATTTCCATATTCGTGACAAAAAGTGTGATGTCATTGTAAGCAGAAACCTCAATGTTACAGCTATCTCAGCACAAAATGTGCCAGAATTTTGGACCGTTTGCTGTCCTAAATTCTCTTTTCTGTGGTGATTCGTTGTTGTGTCTTTACATGGCAGTAGATTAATGAGCAAAGTTTTCTCCATATGCTTTTTTTTCAATGCGCATATTTTGGAATTCTCAATTTGAACAGAAAACTGAACTTTGCCTACCTGAAATGACATCACAGCAACAGCGCCCTCAGTTGTGCGGAAAAGCATGGACAGTTTTAAACGTATTACAGAAGTGTACTTTTCAATAAAATTAGCCTAAAAGGGATGTCAAATAGTTTTCATACATTTAACATTTTAAGAGTAGAAAGTTGCACGAAATGTGTTCCTCAGAAAAATTCGTCGCATGGACCGTTTAAAAGGTAGATATTGCTCTATTTATTTTCCCCGATAGCTCAAGATGGCTGCAATCGATGAGATGAGCAGTACGCATGCCTGAGATTATAGCATGACCCAGCCGGAAGTAATTGAAGACTGACCTTCGATACTGGGATAGAGACTATACTTCCTACCAACTAGGTTGCGGTAACGATGGAGTATTACTCAGCAGTGTTTTCTCTCTGTGAGTTGATACACGGAATAGACCCAACCTTCTGAGGCATGTGATTTGTCAGTTCTTTCACTGTAGGAAGACCGTGATTGGTCAGTAAACATTAGGAATGAACTTAATGGCACATACTACAGCAGACACCTTCGTGATCATTTTGTAATAAGGCAGATATTTACGACAATGTATGTATATTTATTAAAAGTAAAAACTACGTAGTTCGACATTCGTCGGGAGTCGAAACTATACTGTAAATAACACGAGGCCTGTTAGTAACGTCAATGTTGAGATATGTCGAAGGGTATATTTTCTATGACAAAATAGTTATCGTTATTAATACTTAATGCCAGATATACCCAGTGTCTTGTAAGATAGTTTAAAGGTAGGAATAGGAATGTTTAAAGTGTCTTCAATGTTTTCGACTAAAAGTCTGGGTGCAACTCGCGTATAACAAGAGCCCTCTCTGATTGTGTTCTGTTTTTGAACGACCAACAGCAGGGTATTTTGCACCTTCATTGTGGTTGATTTACATTCTATGTGTTCACCTTCATAAAAAAATTAATCAGCTGTGTTTTCAGTTGTGTATATGTTCAAATTCGAAAGCATGATGTTTGAATGTTGTGCATGTTGTAAATAGGATACCGTACAGAGTGCAATAGGCATATACTATAAGGTAGACATTTTGTTTATGCAAAGAAAAACAAAATCATATTTATTGTGTTGATAATTTTGTAACAAGTGTCCAGGAATCGTAAAATAATTTCTTAAGACGATTTAAATAACTTATTGACCTGAATAGGAAATAAGGTTTCTTAAAAAATATCAGTCATCTTGATTTTATTCTGAAACTGAGCGATAACTCCATATACCCATTCATAGTAATCAGCTTATTCTTTGTCGTGTCAAAGAGAGGAGCAAATTGTTTGATGTATCGAATTTTTCTCAAAATTAGAGGAATTTTTTTTTCAGGATTGGGGGCGCTAAAAAGGCATGTTAGTCAGACGTTTGACAAGAACATGTAGTTGAACCGAAGTCTTGTCACAGCGCCCTCTGTGTGTTTTGTTTTTGTCAAGAAGAACGATTCGCCGTGGGTTTTCGTTTCCACAATAGACTTTTATCATGCTTCCATCATTTTAGTCATGTTCCCTGTATCCAATAACAGTACTGAAAGATAATGTTTTTGTGCAAAAAGGAACTAGACTATTTCTGCTTCCAGCCTCGCTTTGGTTACATTGATCTGAATGGTAAAAACAATTCAAATGGCTGCAACATGATAATGGTCTATTGCATAGATGGTTGTTTATCATCAGCAAAACAGAGGGCGAACATGTTCTTACCTGTTCAGGAAGCTTGGGCCAAGTTCGGGCAAGGACCATTTATAGTCGACTAGTGGTTGATTTGTGACGTACCTTACGCCTGCGCACTAATAGCAACATGCGAACGTCTCTAGTCAAACGCTGGTCAAAATGTCATCGCGAAACTCTTGGATCCTGGCTCCCTGCTGTACGTTATGAATGGGCGCGGCTATTGGTTACCAGCGATGCAACTAGCCCCAGTAGGTTGGTTCCAAATAGTCGACTAGCGTAGTCAACCACCGTCGACTGGACAGAGTTCGGGCTAACTTTAGTCGAACTATGGGTAACCAACGGTCAACGATATTTCTTGCGCGAACTTGCCCATGGAGGTAGGATTGAACCGAGCTTCCTCGATATTCAAACAGCGCCCTCCTGCGATGAGAAAATTCGCACGGCATGATAACAATTTTTGAATTTTGACAGAAGGTGCATTAAAAAGATATGTATCAAAAGGCTTGTTTTTTTTTCTTTCTTTTGGCCAGGAAATGCAAGATCGTTATGATCTGTCTACCGGCACAACCACTGCCTCGGAAAGTAAAAATTACTTGAGCTACGTGCTACTTTTTTTTTTAATTTTTTTTAGAGAGAACCAATTTTCTAACATATTCGTTACTTAATTTCAACTTCATATATGCACCTGTGTATCTATGCCATTAATTAATTGTATTCCTTGTTTTGTTCTTCGAGAATTTCCTCATATATTTTACCCAACCCCAGTGTCAATGACTTGCACAGCTACTTTTAAGCAAATTTGCGGCTACATCAACAGCGCCCTCCCGTGACATAATTGGAAAATATTCCAATTATTACAATATACTGCGGATATTTATTTTGGCACACAATGTTGTCTGATATAGACACAACTTGACTTCTTTATTATATAAATTATAACGAATTCCCGAAAATAAATGAAAAAGTGTACATACCAGGGGAAAAAATATATTCTATAAAAATCAAGTTTTACAGACGATTTTCATATTTTTAAAAGGTCGTGAATTATAGTCTTGACTTAAGTATTTTTGGGATTGGAATTACCATTTTTGTCAAAACGTTATTCTAAAATTGCTACTTCAAACTTCTGTATTTTTAATGTCTTCGCTCAGAAGTAATCTAATTGTACATGGTATAATTATTGTTAAAAAGCTTAAGACGTTCATTGATGCACAGATTCATCCGCATAATTTATCATAATGACGCTGTACAGTGAATTATAAATAAATATGTTGACTTAATTTTTGCTATTGGTGGGCTGTTGGATGTCTTGTTTTTGTGCGTGCAGTTATAAGACAGAATAATTCAAAAGACAGAATAATTATAATTACGGGGAATGGTACCTTAGAGAATGATCCCTTTATCCTACCCCACGAATTCTGGTACATTTATGTTTTGGACCATGAGCAATCGATCTAGAATATTTGCGACTGCAAAATTTTGCATCTAAATAGGAGTTGTGACATTGGGGAGACATTGAAATGTCTCTTTAATGACGATAAAATGTCTCCTACATTAACATGAATTGGAGATTGGGAGTATTACAAGCCAGGGGTCGAATACAGACGTCTGCACTTTGAATTGACTAGAGGCACCCATCGCTTGGACCACGTTTATATCCAACGTTTATCTCAAGACCAAATCACATTATGATTATCCCCGGGAAGGAGGTTGTTTATATCAACATGGCCACCATATTGTCTGCCCGTACTCAAACTTTTGACGCCTGGTCTATGAGACGCTTTCAACTTGGCGTCTTGCCCGAAATCGATTTTCTGAAATCAAAACAAGGGAGGTAGGTTTTCTTGAATCATTGTGGAGACATTTGGATTCAGGAAATATTTGAGACAGTTGCTATAAAAAGAAATAAGCGTGGATAGGTTGCATTTATTGTGTGGACCGCCATCGATTTTTTTGTTCTCCCAAACGACATCCACATATGGGTGTACGCTATGTCGTTTTGGACTTAACTTTTCTAAAAACAGAAGAAAATATAAAATTAGAAGAAAAAAAATATTCGAACGTAATGAAATTCGGACTTTATTTCCCTTTAAAAAATGCTCCGAAGCCTCAGATTAGAAAAGAACAATTATGGGCGCGAAACGGTGATTCGAACCCGCACCCTCGAAGTATAAAATCACGACCCTATCGACTGAGCTACCGCACTGCTCACCAAAACGTGGGGAAAGAATCATTATATACCTGCGTATTAAAGTATCAAAGAGGGCGCTAAACAGCCACGTGTGGTGGACGTAGTTTGGGAAAAGAAAATTCGCGGACCGCCATTCCAGCTGTAACAATTGTGCATACCTGGGATGATTGCAACGTCACGGTGCAATGAGTGGGGTAATGGAATCGTCTCGACGTTAATGAGTGTATATAGATGAGGGAGGGCTGACATTCGATTGAAAGACAACTACCATTTGCGCACCAGTTTTCATCGGCTGCTATGTGCTACCATTCAGCACTCCAGATTCAGGAACCATCGAGTTTCAAGAACATAGGTCTGGGAGCTAGATAAGCCAATGTAAACAAACGAAGTCCGGGACCACCTATAGTTAAGACAGACTCACACGGAACACAGTACGAAAGTCGTCTTCTTCGTAAGGACAGGCAGATTCTCCACAAAGTCACAGTGACGACGTTTTGGAGTTCCTGGTAAGTACAGCATTAATTAAGTGTATTGAATGGTTGGTGGTGATGGAAAGCAATGGTTGTAAATCGTATACAGGAACAGTACAGTACACACTTAACAGTGCCGTAGCAAGGACATTTTTATTGGTGGGGCGGGGGGGGGGGGGTAAAAAGATCGTCAAAAGGGCCCTCGCACGTTCGTGCTGAAATGTTCAAAGGTTTTTTTTCTCTGGTCGCTTGGCCTCTGTAAAATAAAAAAAAAGTGTTGGGTGGTATGAGGGCGCTGTTCAGTCTGGACGATCATGGAAACTGTCGGACAATAGCTGGCGCTTTTTAAGGCCTCAAAATTGCCGACGGCCGTGCGACATTACAAAGAGGCACTTGTAAAAGGACGCTGGTAAAAAGAGCATTTTAATTTTTTTTTTAAAGCCACTTATTTACATGAATATTGGGGGGGGGGGACGCAAAAAGGGCACTTGTATAGAAAATGGCAGTCTATACAAAATGTTGGGGAGGGGGATACCCCCTTACCCCCCCCCCCCCCCCCCCCCCCGGCTACGCTACTGCCTAATGACGTGTACACGGTTTATATTTGCCATAATCCTGTTGAATCACTGGCGTAACCTAAACTAGGATTAAACTTCTTGGGGAACCTGGGGTGTATACATATTTCAAGGGTAGGGGAGGGGGCGCTGAAGGCAAACTGTATATATTTCTGTACTATTCAACATTTGAAGGGGGGGGGGGGAACCAGAAAACTGTTGGGAGGGCGGGCATGCCCCCCCCTTTCCCCTCCTTACGCCTCCTTACGCCACCGCGTTGGTATTCGATATTTTTTTTACTGTGGTTGTAATCATAATGAAGTATTTAAAATCGTGTAGGCCTATATTTTGAATAATTTAACCTGTGAATTAACATAACTTTAAAAATCTCAGATGCCGTGATATGTAAAAGAAAACACCCCACTGCACTCGTAAACATGCAAATGGTTCTCGTTAACGAGCGGGTATTTGCCGCCATCTTAATTAAGGGCCGTCAATGCATAAAAAAGAGCCGCATTTGACCGCACTAGTTCCCGGTCTTTCACGACGCATATTAGGGGAGTACCCACTATAAATCCACGAGGAAATGAAATGTGACATCCGTGCCATTATCACCAGACATAATGTACACAAAATGCCGACATCGTCAGCTGTAATCATTTGGGCTCATGGTTGTCCATACATTACTCCATTAAAACCATTTACAGATTACTGCTGAACAATATAACCTTCAGGTTGTATCTTTCAACCCATTAAGGAAAACCGAATTACCTGTTTTTTTTTCTAAACCCCGAAGCATATTGGACTGAATACTAATGCTATTTGTACTGTAAATATAAACTTTTAGTTTTAACTCAGACTTTTGACTTTTTTGGCGTACACCTCTTTCAAAATTTGACATTTAAACTTCTTGTTCAGTTCAGTTCTGTTATTTCCATCGATTCAATTGGGTGAAGAAAAAAAAGATAATTTATTTGCTATAAACTGATACATAATTGTGCTAGTGGCGTTAAATGGGTCAAACAAGATGTCGCTATTTTTCAAGACGTCTGTACTAGAAAGCAGGAAGTCGTGGGTTCGAGTCCCACCCGAGCAACTCGGAGTATACAGTGCTTATTGATACTACGAAGGTGAATAGCAACAACCAATATTAAAAAATTACATCTTTCCGACGCAAAAATACCATCATCAGTCAAAATGTCACTAACAATATTTATTTGTCTTACCCCAGAAAAAAAACAAAGAAAGCTGACTTTGGATAATGCCTACGTTGCTATTTTTTTTATTTAGCCAATAGAGGGCGCCACAGGTGTTAACGGCTACGATATCTATTGTGAACGCTGTCTTTCACTAACGTAAAAAACAGGCCTCAAGTCAAATGTACGGCATTCAGGTTGACAACGTGCTGATAAAAGGCTTGGCAAATGAATCAGCCTGTGACAACATTATATATAGGCCACACAGGATTACCTGTTACTAGATTAGGCACTGTATGGAATCGCCACCAGTCAATTTGCAGAGAAATCCTCACATTTCACCTAATGGGTCAAGCTTGGCCTACTTCCTCACCCATGTGCTTTTTCACTTGTGCCAATTTTCTTATATGATTTGCCCAAAGGCGTCAAGAGGTAATAATCCTAATGGAATTTGAGGGTTTTTGTTTTCTCCGGGGATTTAATCCATGATACGCGGGCGGTTTGCAGAACCACCTTGTTAACACTTTGGCCAGATGGGCGGTAGACTCGTCATCATCAGCTATCGACGAGTAGTAGTCTTGACAGCAGTCGTTGCGATACTTAAAGGACGACCGGCGATGCTTCAAGGATGATGGGCGTCGCCAGGATTTTTTTAGAGGGGGAAAATTATATTATTTCCCCAAATCCTCGTACTTTCTCTAGCATATTCCCAATTTATCATTTG